CAGAAGTAGTTGTCACAGGTGACCACGATGAAGTCCAGAGGAAGACAGGTGAGCACAGAGCGACGTTCTAGAGCATCAAGCAGGTTGCACTCAAGACTGCCTCACGCAGGAGGCAGGTGACACAGTCCAGCCCTCAGCAAGCCCTAGTCTGGGGGTGGGGACTAGCTGGTCTGGTGTCCACAGGAGACACCATCTGAGGGAGGACCAAAGCGCCTTCTGCAGATGCCCCCCGTCTGATGGAGGAGACAGCCCTGCCCCCAGGAGCCCGGACCCAGAGCAAATGTGAGACACAGTTCTCTCAGCCAGTAGGGTTCATCCTGACTTCGGTTTGCCTCTGACTCCACCATTCCTATACACATCACTCCTCCTCTCTGCACCCATTTGCCCAGTAAACAGAGTGTGACTCAGAGGTTGAACACAGCAGGGCTCCACTTTGGACTCCTGAGAAAGCCTGAACCAGAGAACATCTGCCTGAGGTCACAGGGTGAAGGCCCACCAGGCCAGGACCAGATAGGCAGGATCAGGGCTGGAGAGGGAGCAGGCCGTGGCTCACTCTTGACTCAGTACCTGCATGCTCCACCCTCCTTCCTAGAGATCCCTTTTGATCTGGGCAGCAAGATCACCATCAGCATGGCCGATTTTGAAGGTAGGCCTGACTTTGCCAAACACTGCGCCTCCGGATGTCAGCTCCTGAGAAGTTCGGGAAATTGTAGGACACAGGCACACAATGCTAGCCATACTTGGGGTGTGGGGAGGTGAGGGTAGGAGGGTCTAGTTGATCGGAGGCCTGGGTACTAAGGGTCACTGTGGCCCCCTGGGTGTGCTGCTGGTGGAGGAGGTGGCCTATGGGGAAGTCCCTGGGCAGGGAGGGCATCAGGAGAACAGGATTCTGGCACCAGGGTGACCTGGAGTGACTTCCTGCTTCTCTCCAGGCCCCATTTCCCTCCTGGGGAGGAGCTGAGATTTAGAGCTCACCCATCTCAGCCCTGGATGATTCTGATTTCAGAGACCGTGATCATCCCCTCGCCCCCGACCAATGTCCACGCCAGCGAGATCCGGGAGGCCTATGTGGTTCTAAGCTGGGAGGAACCAAAGCCCCGGGGCAAAGCCCCACTGACCTATGCCCTGGAGAAGGTAGGAGACCCCAAGCACCAACCTAGGACAGCCTAAAAAGCGGACACACTGTGAGATCTGGGTACAAGGAAGTACAGGGTGCTGAGAAACCTCAGGCAGGGTCCCTGGGGGCCTTCGAAGAAGAGACACTAGTCCTTGCCTGGAAAGACCTGAGCTCAGCCCCACAGAGACAGGGGGTGGACTAATGGCCTTCTGTGGTCTCCTGAGGCACCAGTTACTTGTGCTAGCAATTCCTGAGGCTGTTCATGAAATACACAAAAGTAAGAAGCACAGACAACAGTAAGACCCGCCGTTTCCTGGGTGCTTCCCTGCCCCAAGTCCATGGCATCAGGTCAGATTTTGGGTCGAGCACCTCCTCTTGATGGGGCCATGTTGGGAGGGGAGCTGGGCTGGTACCTACCAGCTAGAGGTGTAGGGAGCTCCCTTCAGGAGAAGGCGGTCCTCACTGGGGACAGGGGTCACCCTGATAGAGATGGGGCTGGCCCTGTGGAGTGGGTTCAGTGCAGGGGAGGCAGCGTGGAGGAGAAGATATCGTGGGTGTTACGAGCAATTCAACCCAGTCTTTTGCTGGAGGATCCCTCAGAAGTTCTCTCTAACTTCTCTGAGCCTTTGTCCTCCATCCTAGAAGGGAGTAGCTGACTGATGAGGGCTAAATAAGGAACAGCACACAGCCTGGGCCAGCATCCAGGACTGTTTGTGCTTCTCATGAGGTGTTCTTGAGTCCTCTTCCTAAAGGCAGAGCACAAGTTTCTCTGACTCACTGTGTGCACCATGGTACCTGGCACACAACAGGTGACGGCAAAGGTTTACTGAATAAAAGAACTAAACACGCCCAGGGAGGAATCTCTAGCTCTTTTTGTCCAAAATCTTCTCACATTCACAGGAAATAGACCCTAATTCTCCAACATAGGATATCATAAATGATCACAGATTTGTTCTGGGAGCTGTAAAATACGACGGAAACCAACTTGGAGCCAGACTGCTTGGTTTCAACACCTGTCTTTGTTGTCAGTATGAGCTGTGTGACCTCGGGCAATTTAGTCTCTCAGGGCCTCTGTTTCAACGTTAATAATAATCACAAACATCTCATAGGGTTAAAGTGAAGCTCAAATTAAGACATACAAAGACAGAACAGGGCCTGTTCCCAGTGGGTGCTCACAGCATTCACTGTTTTTTGTTTTTTGGGTTGTTTGTTTGTTTGTTTTTTGTACCAGGGATCGAATTCAGGACCTTGCACTTGTGAGGCAGGTGGAGGCACCACTGAGCTAAATCCCCAGCCCTTTCTGGTGATTTCTTGACATCTCTGGCCTCTGGCAGCCAGGTGGTCTTTGGAGAGGAAAGATGGGGGTAGTTTCAGTGCTCCTGGGCACTGCACCTCAAGTCCAGATTCAGCAGGAACTGTCTCTGGGTTTCTCACCCTGTCACTCAAGGCTGCCCCATGTCTACCCAGAGACTCAGAGGGATAAGTGGCCACCTCAGCTCCCTCAAGATAGATGGCACCTTATAGATCCTCACGGCCTTTGGGGCCCCTGGTACTGTGGCAAGTGAACAGGTTGGGGAAAAGCCACACCTGAGCTTCAGGACCATATCCAGCCTGTGTGAAGTGTGGGACTTCCGGGCAAGTTCCCCAAATGTCTCTAAACCTGAGTGGAGCCTCTCACGGGTGGGGAAATTAACACCTAGTGTGCAGGGTTACTGTGAGAATTCACCCATTTATTCATCCCATGTGCCAGTACCATTTTTGGCCCCAAGGACATGGTACAGGGGAGGCAACAAGGAAAACGCGTAGAATATGAAGTGTGTTAGCTCCTTAGCTAGCAGTTGGCACTGAGGAGGGAGATGCAAAATGGAGAGGCGGAGGAGGCTCAAGCAAGTTCTGAGCAGCAAGTGCAGAGGCCCAGAGGGGGGACGTGGGCCATCCGTGCATGGCAGGGAGGCCCAGGGCTGCAGTGAGTGGACACAGGGGCAGCAGACTGAGGCCAGGCAAGTAGCAGGGAAGAAGTGCTCACTCCAAGGGGGATGGGGAGTTTGAGAGGCTTCTGAGCAGAAAGGGGCCTGCTCTGACTTGTGCTGACAACAAGATCCCTCTGGCAGCCCCTTAAGAAAAGACTAAAATGGGTTAAAGACAGACTCGCATAATTCAGGTGACAGATAGAGCTAGTGTGGGTAGAGGATAGGTTAGGAAGCATGAAGGGTAAAGTCACTTTGGAGTCTGGGTACCTTTTCTTTTCTTTTCCCAACACCAGGAATTGAACCCAGGGCCTTTGCACCGAGCTATATTCCAAGCCCTTTTTTATTTATTTTTTTTTTTTCATGTTGAGACAGAGTCTCACTAAGTTATCCAGGCTGGGCTACAACTTAACAACCCTCCTGCCTCAGCCTTCTAAAGTACTGGAATTACAGGCATGCACCACCATGCCTGGCTTGGATACATTTCAAAGGTACCACGTATTAGATCTCATGGAGAGTATTTGGCCTGTGAGGGAAAGATCCACAGTTGGCTCCCAGGGTCTGGGCGTGAGCCACTGGAAGTGGGAGTGCCATTAACACACTGTGGCAGCAGGGATGTGAGGAATCCCAGGGCTGACTGCTACATGCTACAGGTAAGGGCTCAGGAGAAAGTCTGAGGGAGCAGGTGGACCAGGGCTTGGGGGCAGCCTTCTGGGGAGAAGATCATGGAAGCAGCTTAGCTGATGCCAGTTTCTCTCCCTCCAGTCGGTCATAGGTAGTGGTACCTGGGAGGCCATCAGCTCAGAACACCCGGTGAAATCTCCAAGGTTCGCCCTCCTGAACCTGGAGAAGGGGAAATCATATGTCTTCAGAGTGCGGGCCATGAACCAATATGGCATGAGCGACCCCTCGGAGCCCAGCGAGCCCATCGCCCTGAGAGGCAAGACAGGTACTACGTGATGCAGCCAGAGGGAAATGAAACCAGGAGAAATAAGAGGAAAGGAGAAAAGTGAAGTAGGTCAAGAAAAAAAAAATTAGAGGAGCCCCATAATTGTACCAAAAGGAAGACAGGGATCCAACAAATGATGCGTAAGGAATTTGAAATGTAGGGATTGTGACCCTGACTTCCAACCATCCAGCCATCCAACCAAGCATTCATCCAATCATCATCTATCCAGCTAATCATCCACCCATCCATCTGTCTATTCATCCAGCCAGCCATCCACTCAACCACCCGTCCAAACATTCAAGCAGCCATCCATCTAGCCACTGACAAATCATAGCATCCCCAAATCAACAAGCTTAGTATCAGGAAACCATGAAAATCAATAGAGAGATTTCAAGGGAAGAAAAATCAAGTTGTCTTGAGATTAAAGGTCAGGACTGAGGAAAGCTGTCAGATTTGGTCACTTCTGAGAGAGACTGTAAGACTCAGTGAGGGAGGGCTGTGGTGCTTAAGTGAGGAACTAGAAATGCTCAATAGTCATGGAAGAGAGGACTTTTAAGACCGGAGAGTTCCAAACACACTTTTGGGCCTGGGAAATTGAACCCTAAGCCCCTGGACAAGGTTGAAGTCTATGCAATGCTCTGGATAGCTGTGGGCCTCCTCCCTGACTCTCCCCACAGCCCCATTCCCAGCCTCTCAGGGGCTTAACTCAGTGTCTCTCTCCAATGTTTCTGTTTTTCAGCTACTCTCCCCCCACCAGCTCAAGTGCAAGCTTTCCGAGACACGCAGACCTCTGTGTCCCTGACTTGGGATCCCGTGAACGCTGGTGCCGAGCTCCTGGGATATTACATCTACTCCAGGGAGGCAGGATCCTCTGAGTGGCAGACAGTCAACAACAAGCCCATCCAGGACAGGAGGTGAGTCTGTTTAACCCAATCACAGCAGGCATCCAGCCCACCGTGTCACAGCTGTACCCTAAGCTGGGCCTTGCTCTAGGCCCTCGTGTGTTAGGTCTTCCAGCTCTTACTGTTGTCCTGAGTTTGAATGATTTGGGGGATTGTTTTTGTTTGTTTGTTTGTTTTTATGGCATTAAGGGTTGAACCCAGGGCCTTCATACTGAGCAACATCCCTAACTTTCCTCCCCCACCGTCCTTATTCTTTGAGATCATTTCTCACTAAAGCACTGAATTTCCTAGGCTGGCCTCAAATTTATGATCCTCCTGCCTCAGCTTCCCAGAGTGCTGGGATTATAGGCATGGGCCACCACACTCAGTTAGGATGGTTGCTTTTGCGATCATTTTACAGAGGGAAGAACTAAGGCACAGGGAGATTGAGCATCTTGCCCAAACTCCCATAGTTAGGAAGAAGAGGAACAGGGGCTTGGCTCCAGATGGTCTCTTTTGACACACACTTGCTTGCAGAAGTAGTCTGGGGTTAGAGGTGACTATAGACTTGGAGAAGTCCCCTGCGGAACAGATCTGCTACAGGAAAATGTGGATAAGGGAAAAGGGAGAAAGAGGTCCACAATTTAGGCTTCATCACAAAGGACCAGAAGAGAGGATGATTTTCTCTAAACCAGAGTGTCCTTGTATGTCTGGGTGACAGTTCATTCTAGGGTCTTTAAAAGGACTCACAGCAATATTACAGATTATAACAGCCACTTGCTTTTGTTCAAGATCAAAACCCAAAACTCTGGAAAGAAAGCGGGGGTGTGGTGGCGCACGCCTGTAATCCCAGCACTTGGGAGCCTGAGGCAGGAGGATCGCTGTGAGTTTGAGACCAGCCTGGGCTACATAGTGAGTTCCAGGTCAGTCTCAACTACACAGTGAGACCCTGTCTCAAAAAATCAAAACAAAACACCCCAAATCTCTGAAGATGTGCATGGAGCACTGGTCAAGAGTGGGCAGCCTTGACCTTAAACTGGTAAATTTCGCAGTGTGCAGTATTTGCACTTTGACAACGGCCCTTAGACATCCTTGACAATTTTAAGGACACCGCCCTCTGTGGGGCCATCTCAGGCATTGCTATGGGGTTGGGGGCAGTAATTTTAGAGAAGAGCTGGCTCAGATTCCCCCAGTCCCATCTGCTTAGCCCACAAGGCTCAGGAAGTCTCCAGACTGGCTGTCCCTACAGGCTGTACTTTTCTCCCTCAGGTTTACAGTTCCAGGGCTGAGAACAGGGAAGGAGTATGAGTTTTGTGTCAAGTCAGTCAGTGAGGCCGGCGTGGGTGAGAGCTCAGCCCCCACGGAGCCCATCAGGGTCAAGCAGGCACTGGGTGAGTCCCTAGGGGTCCAGTCTGTGATACTCTGGGGCATCCTGGCCTTGGCGGAGCTGGGCTCTGGTGCCCTCTGGGGAAGATGCTGCTGGCTCAGGGTGGAGCCCCTGGGGCACAGTGAGCGCTCACCAGAGGAGGTTCCCGGGCCCCCTCAGGCCCCACTGCCCAGTCCCGCCACCCCTGGGAGCAGCTGCCTGCCTCCCCACCTCCCACAGCCACCCCGTCGGCTCCATATGATTTTGCCCTCCTGCACTGCGGGAAGAATGAAATGATCATCGGGTGGAAACCTCCCAAGCGTCGTGGAGGCGGCAAGATCCTGGGCTACTTCCTGGACCAGCACGACTCAGAGGAGCCAGACTGGCACCCCGTCAACCAGCAGCCAGTCCCCAGCCGGGTCTGCAAGGTGAGCGGGAGCGTGGCCGTAGGCTTACGTCGCTGCTATGTGGACAAGGTCACACAGAGGGCCCTGAGTGAGGCCTCAAGGCATGTGTATGGCCTCGGGTTACCCTACCGCCACTGTCCAGCTGAGTTCAAGCACCGAGCATTTCCATGGCCCTGTGTAAAGCCCCTAAGAAACAGATGTGGTGCCACCTGCCTATAATCACAGCCCCCCTGAGAGGCTGAGGCAGGAGGGTTGTGAGTTTGAGCCCAGCCCAGGCAACTTAATGATTTAGCAAGACCGTCTCAAAATAAAAATAAATAATAAATAGAAAGGCCTGGGAATGGAGCTCAGTGCAAAGGCCCCGGATTCAATCCCCAGTACTGGAGAGGGGAACCCCTGAGAACTACACACACTCAGCCACACACACACGTACACACTCACACACCACCTCTTCCCCAGCTGCAGCTATCCTGATCTGTCCTTCCGCTCCTCCAGATCAGCAACCTCCACGAAGGCCACTTCTATGAGTTCCGTGCCCGGGCAGCAAACTGGGCAGGTGTGGGTGAGCTGTCAGCGCCCAGCAGCTTGTTTGAATGCAAAGAGTGGACAATGCCCCAGCCAGGTGAGGCCGAGGGCTGCGGTCCAGGCTGCCCTGCCTGCCCTCCCCACCTTGAACTAGAGAGACGAACAGCGTGGAAGTCCCTGTGTGTTCAGTGCCCAGACCCCTACACCTCCCCAGACTAACCTTGAAATCCCTGATGCTGACTGTCCTGAGCCTACCAAAGATGCCCCTGACCGGCCACCCCCTGGGCCTGCACCCCAGCACCAACCAACCCCAAGTCAGTGCACCATCCAAGCTCTGATTCTGCCCGCAGCCCCATGGTGAACCCCAAGGCCACACAGCGAGGGTGGCTAACTCATCCCCCTGGGACTTTCCCAGGTTACCACAGAAGGTTGTACATTCCGGAAGTCCCCTCAGTGGGGGGCCTGCCACACTGCTAACCCCATTAGCCTGCTCCCCTCAGCTCAGTGAGCCCCTCTCCTCCCCCCACGGAAGGAACAATCAGTGTCAACCACGCTGTTCAGCACAGTTCTGTTTTCTGCATAAAACCTTCACCTGACGGCAGGTAATTACAGTATGTGGTGCTTTCAGGAGCAACAATTATGAACATCTGGTATTTATCAAGTCTATGTACCAGACACTTCCCACAAATATTCTCACTGGAGCCCACAACAGCTCCGTGAGGACTGCTTACCGTCCTCCTTTTCCAGGTGAGGAAACAGGAATACGCACATTAACTCATCCAGAGTCCCCCTCGCCAGGAGGGGAGGCTGGGGACCTGGTCAGGGAAGCTGCCAGAAGGAGGTGACACTGAGTGCATTTTGAAGAGCTAACCCTACTTCAGGCCAGGAACACAGCTTTGTCACAAAGCCAGGGCTGCCCAGGTCCCCGCCTTGCCTGGAGCAGGCCTTCCAGGCTTGGTGGTGACCGACAGACTGACCAGCTGAGCAGCTGGCTGCCCGGCCCCCACAGCTCTGCCATCCCTCACCCCCACAGGCCCCCCGTACGACGTGCAGGTGACCGAAGTACGGGCCACCTCTCTGATGCTGCAGTGGGAGCCGCCTGTGTACACAGGGGCTGGGCCAGTCACCGGCTACCGCATCAGTTTCCAGGAGGAAGGCGCTGAGGAGTGGAAGCAGGTCACCCCAGACTCCATCTCTGACACCCACTTCAGGGTAAGTTCCTGCGTCTTCCCCTCCTAACCAGCCCCGAGCCTTTCCTGCCACTGGATGTGGCAGAACCACCGAGCTGCAACAACCCTCAGAGAGCACCTACTTATCTTATTGGCAGCACGGGACCAGAGAGGGACAGCGACTTAAGCAGGGCCGCACAGCAAGTCGGCAGCAGGTCTGGCTAGCTGGTGGCCTTACTCAGTTCTGTGCTGGACAAACTCCTCCCTAAAAATCTCACTCCAGTAGGCCTGGTGTATCAGCATTTAGATTTGCATACCCCTCCATCCGGGAAGTCCGCCCCTCGGGTTGAATTGTAGAGAAAGAATTAGGCAAGTGTGGAAAGACCTAAGGATGGTGATAGTCATCGTAGCATTGTGGCAGAGCTGGAAGCAACTCAAATGTCTGCCAGAAGGAGTTTGCTGAGATAAATCATAGCGCACCCTTCATGTGGAATCCTGGGCATAAGGAGTGGCAGTGGTGTGAAGGATGCTACACCCGTGGATAAATAGGAAATGTAGAATCGTTGGTTTTGGTCCGAGTGGTTACTGTGGTTTTAACTTTCTGCACACGCAAGAGGAAAGGACCACTCCTCTCCCTACGTGACAAAGATGAGTCACAAATATTTATACAAGTCGGAAAACAAAGGCGTCATTGAATCACTACCAGCAGACACAAGTCCCTCACTTATAGACTTCAGGTCACTGGTGGCGACTTTCACAGGCTGTGGCCATGCTCTGAAGGTAGCATTGGGGGGTGGGGGGGGGACTTCCTATTTAAGGAGCCTGTGCAAGGATGGTGCAGCTCTAGAAAAAGATGGATGACTTCCTCCAATCCACTCACCTGAGGCATCTTTCCCCAGGTGCAGAAAGAGGTGCACTTAACACACACACACACACACACAGCCACACACACACACACCTGCAATAGGGAGGGAACCCAAGGCCTTTGCACTGAGCTACATCTCTAGCCCTTTTTTATTTTGAGACAGGATCCTGCTAAGTCACTAAGTTGCACGGGCTGGGCTGTAACTAGTGATCCTCCTGTCTCAGCCTCCCAAAGTGCTAGAATTACAGGCATGTGCCACCACACCAAGATGCCAGGAGCATTCTTTAGCCTTCCATGACAGCACACAAGAAAAAGAAGATAGGTTTGAGAAGCCCACCGTATTGGGAAAGAATAAGATAGCGATGAAGAGAATATAATGCCTATTGTATTTCTACCAAATCTAAAAGGATTTTCACCATCCTGTTCACCCTGGTCCTCTATGCAGCTGGGAACTCAAGGAGGGCTTTAAACCTTCACGTCATATCCTTCTCTGTTGCTTTAAAAACTTCCCAGTTTCTTTTATCATCAGAAACAACTTAAACACTTTAATCTTGTAAAAATGAAACAGCCCTCCTAAGACAAATGAGAGAAGAAAAGCATCCACCACAAGCAGAGTCCCCTGAGATTCCGCAGACTCCCGTGTCCCCAGGGCCAGTCCACCATTAGTGCAGTTGGCCGATGCTGGACAGGGGCCCGAGAGGGCCACACGTGGTGGACAGTCCCTCCGCCTTCCCTTGGGCGAGCCTGGGCCAGGACAGTGACTTGGCACCAGTGTCCACGTGAGTGTGGTTGGCTGCCTCTCAGTCATTCACTAACCACTTCCTGACGTCTATTTCCTGCCAGGTCTGGACAGGGTCCTAGACATGAAAAGCTAAATAAGCCACAGCCACTGGGGAACAGCACTCACAGTGCCGTGTGATGAATGCAGCCAATGAGGGAGCTTGGAGATGATGGGAGCTCCAAGGAAGAGGGGCAGGGCCACAGCCTGGGGTCCTTCATCTGCCCCAGCTGAGTGGCACATGAAGCCTGAGCTGGAGTTGGTCAGACTGAGAAGGAGGCACAGTGATCCTGGCAGAGGGCTCCGCAAGGGCAAAGACAGGGCAGGGTGTGGCGGCCCAGCTGTCACAACATGAATGTACCTGAGTTGGGGAGTGAGGATTGAGAAAAGACAGCACACTCAATAGTGTGGAGACAAGAGGTCCGATTTATTTCACAGAAACAGCTCCTTTTAAAGGCAGGCCCACAGGAAGCACCAAGCAACTATTAGGGAGGAGATCAGATTTTTGGCTATCCGAGTTCTTCCCATCATAAGGTCAAATTTAACAAAGTCCTTGAGCTGGGTGTGGTGGTGCACGCTCGTAATCCCATAAAACCAGTCTGGATTATAGTGAGCTCCAGGTCAACACCGGTAACCCCATAAACCCAACCTGGATTACACAGTGAGCTCCAGGTCAATCTCATCTGCATAGCTGAGACCTTTGTCTCAGAAAAGCCAAATAGAGTCATAGATTGTGTCAATGCCTCAATGGTAGAAGAAGTTACTTTTCCGATGTCAAATGCCAGCGGGCTCCCACAGCAGGGCAGGTCTCCCTGACTGTGGAGACCCCGAGGGAGCTGTGCAGAGAAGGGGCCACACAGCAGTGAGGGTGATACAGTCGAGTGGGCCAAAATGGTCCGGGTTGTTGGGTATGACAAGGAAAGTACTGCCAAGCGTGTACCTCGTGGTGTAGTATGCAGTAAGTTTAGCAGGAGCGGGTAGAAGGGCAGAGCAAGGGCTCCCAGGGTGTACAGGGTCAGACTCCAGTGGTGCTAGGTGGCTCCCTCCGTCTCCCTTTTCTGATGTCAGCAATGTGCACAACCTCCTAAGCTTAAGCCTGAGTGATCGTTAGGGCGATCTTGTGCGTCCGGTTGAGTGGAGAGAAGGGAGGGGGCTCACACACCTTCCCTGACTTAGGGTTATGGAAGATGGAGAGCCATTAGGGGTGGTGTGATGTTTACAGCTGAATGAAGGAAAAGAGAGACTCAGCTCCTTTGCTTCTAACTGTACTGAGAGTACGGAAGGTTGAGGTGCATTGGAAGACATTAGTTTCTAAACATTGCAACATGACCTCGACTCCGAAAGTCACTGAAAGATTGAAGCATAATCAGATTGACAGAGGGAAAACCACACGGGAGAAGGGCCCAAGGGTCCAGGGGCAGAAACGAACTGATCCAGGTAAGAAGAAATAAAAAGCTTCTGGGCCTGGGATTTAGCTCAGTGGTTCCACTGCCTGCCTTGCGAGCACAAGGTCCCGAGTTCAATCCCTGGTACCAAAATAAAACAAAACAAAAAAACAAAAAAAAGCTTCTGTCGAGTTATGGCCTTGACATGGGGGGGACACATTCAGGAAACGTAAGGTCAGGGCTGGGGACTTAGCTCAGTAGTGCCACTGCCTGCCTCGCAAGCACAAGGTCCTGAGTTCAATCCCTGGTACCAAAAAAAAAAAGGGGGGGGGATAAAATGGGCAGAACTTAGTGATTAGATAAGGAAGGTTCAAGAAAAGAACATGCAAGCTGGGCATAGTGGCATATACCTATAATCTCAGCACTCAGGAGGCTGAGGCAGGAGGAGGGTAGACCCAAGCTCAAGGCCAGCCTGAGCTACATAGCGAGACCCTGTCTCAATAAAAAAGAAAAGAACATCCAAAACGATGATCCCAGGTCTGCCTCTGGCTGTTGGAGGGAAGAGAGGGGAGGACGGAGGGAGAGGCAAGAGACAGTCTTGTTGGGAGGAGGAGGCTGAGTTAAGCTTCAAGCAGGATCCAGGTGCCAGTGCCTGTGAAGTAGACATTACAAACCTGGAATTCAGAGGCTGGTGTAGCGGTAAATGTCCATAATCCCAGCACTTCTAGGAGGCTGAGGTAGGAGAATTGCAAGATGGAGCCCAGCTTGGGCAACTCAACAACTTAGCCAGACCCTGTGGGGAAAAAAAAAAAAGACTGAGGATTCAGCTCAGTGCAAAGGGCCTAGGTTCAATCCCCAGTACCACAAAAATCAAAATTTTAAAAGCTTTTTAAAATCTGGAATTCAGGAGGGAGAACAAGCAGCCTGTGCTTGTTCCTGGGCCCTGGCCACGAGGGACCTTCTGTCCTCAGCATCGGCTTTCGCCCCGCCCCCAGGTGTCTGACCTGCAGACGGGGAAGAGGTATGTGTTCCAGGTACAGGCCGTGAATTCAGCCGGGCTGGGACAACCATCGATGCCCACTGACCCCGTGCTCCTGGAGGACAAGCCAGGTAGGGTGGCCTGAGGGCGCCGGCGCTCAAGAGCTGGGCCCTCCGTCAAGCACAGTGGGGCTGGCAGGACGCTGGGAGAAGCGCGCAGATCGTCGCAGAGCAGAGTGTGGGGCCTTCCACCCCCACTGGCTTCTCTCCCAGTCCCCAAGCCCAAGCCCAAGCACCCCTGTGGGACCCCCGATGGGAACATCCCTCTTCCGCTCTTCCCCACGCTAAGCATAAGCTCCTGCAGCTCCTCACAGACCATAAAGGATCCCACCACAGCTCTGCCTGTCTTGCAGTCCCAGCTCCTGGGGCCCCTCCTGTTCCCCCGCCAGAGGCTATGCTGGGGCCTCACCGGCGCATCTGAACTGACTTTGTCGTAGCTCAGAGAGGTTCAGCAGCCCGGGCACACAGCCAGCCCTGCTCCGCTCCCCAGCTGGGAAGCACGTTCTTTCCTTTTTTCTTCTGTCGTTCATTCCCTATCATCTGTGGTGCCCACATCTCACTGAGGATACAGCAGCAGATGAGAAAGCGGGCCCAGCTCTGGGAATAGCAGGAGGAGGGCACAGGGAGTGGGCAGACGTGAGGAAGTAAACTGCCTTGTGGGGACAGCGATGTAAGGCAGTGATGGGCGGCGCCACAGAGGAAACAGCATGGTGCGGTGGTGGGCGGGAAACTTTAGCCAGGGCAGTGCGGAGAAGGTGGCATTTGAGCTGAGAAAGAGCCAGGTCACGCAGGGCCTTGCAGGCCACATTAAGGGGCCGGGGTTCATATTGTCATTCAGCGCGGGGCAGCCATGGGAGGGTCCAAGCAGCGGAGGGGTGTGGCCCCTTTACTGTTCATAACCCTCTGGGGCCGGGCACTGGATCTCGTTCCCAGGTGCCCATGAGATCCAGGTTGGTGTGGATGAGGAAGGCCAGATCTACTTGGCTTTCGAAGCCCCCGAGGCCCCCGATGACTCGGAGTTTCAGTGGTCCAAAGACTACCAGGGTCCGCCGGACCCCCAGAGGGTCCAGGTCAAGGATGAACCTAACAAGTGAGTGAGGGTCGGGGAGGAGGCACAGCCGCTTGCTCACAGGACCCAAGTACCATGGGAGCACAGGGCTGGGGTGTGAGGCCCTGGGCGGGGCGCAGAGACAGGGGCTGAACTCAGTTTCCTGCTCCTCCACTGCAGGGGGAAGTGAGGGGAGAGGGCAATTTAAGGGGTTCTTTTTGCATAAGGAATCTTGCTGCCTCTGCCTCAGAGCCTCCAAGAAGACTCCTGTGGGGGCCAGCGACTTGCTCTTGCAGTTACCTGGACTCGGCTTCCTTGTCAGTATAGTGAAGGGTTGGGCCCTGTGACCACAACCCCTTCCAGGCCCCTGAGTCTCACTTGTCCTCCCCTGCAAGAGACAAAGCAGACCCCGAGAGCCCTGGAGGAGGACACGGCAGCATGGCTGGGTCTGGCAGGCCCCACAGGTGCCAGGCCAGAGGGACCCCAAGAAGGGCAAGGAGGCACCTGCCTTGCTCCCCACCTTGGCTGGGGTCTGGGATGGTTAGGCCACCAGAGCCAAGACCCTGCAGCTCCCAGGCCTCCCATGCACAAGACCAGGGAGCCCCTCAGAGCCTCCGCTCCCACTCTCTGCCAGGTCCAAGGTCATCCTGAAAGAACCTGGCCTTCAGGATTTGGGCACCTACACAGTGGTAGTCACCGATGCTGATGAAGACATCTCTGCAAGCCACACACTGACTGAGGAGGGTAAGGCCCCTGCTCCCCACTGTCTCCCCCGGAGACAGACCCCAGTCCAGAGTCCAGACACAAATGCCCATCTCGGCCAGCACGGAGCAGCCCTCAGCCACCATTCAGTCAATCAATAAACACCCAGTGCACAGATGTGCCGGGTTGAGTCCTGCACCATAGGGATTACACCAGGACTCCAAAAATCCCTGCCTAGCTGAATTCTCATTCTCCTGATCTTTCATTTTCCCACTTTTGATAAAAGCAAATTGTCCAGAATTATTTTATTCCGTCTTTAGCCTAAAAATACTGAGAGTGCAAGGCAATAATAAATTGCAAAGTAGCAGCAGTTGTGAGAAAAGAGGATGAGAGGAGAGAGCAGTGCGGACTGTGGTAACCAGAGAATAAGTAGTGTCTGAAGGCTCCGCCTCATTTGATGAATTCATGCTCCCGACCAATGAGACTCTCTCTGCTGACTCCATAGCAACAAGGACAGCCTGTACCCATGGTCTCCCCTGCTCACTGCCCTTGGATTTTGCTAAGAAGCAAAGGCCAGAGAGACTGAGTTACAATTCCAGTTCTCAGTTTCCTGGCTACTTGACCTTGGGCAAGTCATGTTGATCTGGGGATGATACAGGGGAAATAGATGTAACTCCCAACCTCTGTGGTGTCTGATAATGAATTCCAGGAACAGTGGAGGTTAAGAGTAGGAAATATTTTTTGAGAGATAGACAGCTGCTGCCTGAGAGGGACAGGAGGGACCCGGGAAGGTGGATGGCCGGACTCCACTAACGGGACACTTTACAGAGCAAAGTCATGAGGTGGGTAGAAGGTGAGACAAAACTATGATCAGCCAATAAGGTTACAAGTAGAGTCACTTAAATAATATTGACCCAGTGGGAAGCAGGTCATGTAGCAAAGTATACATGAAAAGAACAAGGACCCCTCCTGGAAGGGATGGGTCGGGAGGTCTTGGTCCCCCACCCAAGGTAACCGATGCCCATTTAGAATATCAGTCATTATTGTTTCTCCCTTGGGGAAGTATGTAAGTGTAGCTATTTCGTCTTTATCCTGAGGCCTGGCCCTCAGCAAATGCACCTCCGGCCACAGCAGTAGTATGTTGTCATCCTCCACGCTGACTTCCTTGAGGGCCTAACCCTGTCTGACTACCTATAGCATTGCTAACTTAGCTGTCCACAACCCTGTCACCTCTTGTCCCTTGGTTTCCTCATCTGTACAGGGAGGCTGTAATCCCTGGCTGCTCCTTCTGAAACAGTGCTGCTATACTGATACAAACCGATGATTCTGTGCAAACCTAAGCCAGCCTCAAAAGTGATAGGGTTTTTTGTTGTTTCAATGGATGTTCTCCTTGCACTCAGATTCATTAGGCTAAGGACTCTGGGCTTTATCAGGGAAAATGAAGCATGAGCTCTGTCCCTTCCAGTTCATCCCTGGACACATATTTATTGAGCACGTACTGTGTGCTAGACACTCACATCCATCCAGAGCTCAGCTCAGCAGGAGGGACAGACCTAATAGAAAGAGGCAGTGAGCCGGTGGGGCAGCAGCTCTGTGCTGGGCACCCCGGAGACTTCTGCACCGGAGAGCTCAACGTGTGAGCACTTAGGACCCTCAGGCGTCAGGACAGGATGTTAGCTTGGTTACCAGACCCCGGGGTCCTGGAGGGGACAGCAGTGGACAGGGTGCTCAGCCCACAGCACTGTGTGACACCATGAGATAATGCACAGCCCAGCACACCGTAAGTGCTTGTCTAGGGCAATGGAGGTTGGTCCAAGAAAGACGTGCAATCTCAGGGTGCCCAGCAGCTGCTCCAGTATCTCCTCCCTCAGCCCCTGTGCAGCAGGTAATTCCAAAGAGAAGGGGGAAGAGGGGTTTCTCAGGACACTAGGACAGCTGTCACTGTCCCCCAAGATCCAGATATTCTCTCAACTTTCTTCTTTGCCCTTCCCTGTCAGAGCTGGACAAGCTGAAGAAGTTGAGCCACGAGATCAGAAACCCAGGTAAGCATTAAAACACCTGGCCTCCTGCGGTTGTTAAGGGGCCAGGGCCTATCTGGAGCACAGCAGGGCCAGGAAATAACCCCAAGGAGGAGGCCGGGGATTTAGCGGTTTGGTGGCCTGCCTCGCAAGCACAAGGACCTGAGTTCGATCCCCGGTACCAAAAAATAAGTAAATAAATAAATAACCCAAGGAGAAGGAGG